TCACTCATCTGCTGTGTACAAATAACACTAATGTTGAAACACGTGTTTCAAGAGAAAAAGCACTGCCTTCAGCACCAAATCCTTATTCTCATAACTTAGCGGTCTGTTCAATTACGTACTGAAGATAAAATGAACGAAATGTTTTTCAGTTATTTGAAAATGTAAGTAAGTTTTGCCCAACCCCAGTCTTGTATCATCGCTATCTGACATAGGAATGATAAAGAATATATAGCATTTAGTCACAGTAAAGTGTTTTGGATACAGACTGTGCTTTCCACTTAAAAATAAGATAATTTTCATCAGCAAAATAAGCTCTTGAAGGAGAAGTGGAAGTGGAAGTAGAAGTGAGAATTCCAGTAATAATTTGCACTTCTACTGTAGGCTTTTTTCAGCAAGACTATCAGTCACAAATCACACTTCCCTTAGCTGATTGAAAAAGAGCTGAACAAAAGTATCTGGTGTACATTTCCTTCTGACAAGAAGGCAGAGAAAGCAAGATCTTGCCCAAACACGAGCAGACTTTAACAGATGTCAGATAACTCTACTTTAATTAAGGCAAACAAAAATAAGCTTCCATCCAAAAGCAGCACAAATCCTGAAACATGATTTACGTCATACGAACAGTCTGTCTCAGCAGAGAACATCTCTGGAGGCAAAAAAGTCAGGCTGGTCTCTACATTAATGCAATCTTTGGCTTCCTGCTGAGACTGTGTGCAGGGGTAGCACTCACTGCCAACAGCGACATGCAAAGTCACAAGCTCATTTTATGTAAGCCATAAAGCAGCCTTCACAAAGCACCACAAAGACAGGGCCACTCACTGGATCGCACTGAACACACCTCAGCTCAGATTGAGAGCGTCTTCTAAATGCTGGAGACTTCGTAATGCTCTTGACTGTGACTTTTTCTCCCCAGAGAACAAAGTCAGTTTTAAATGCATTTAAAAATAAATCAGTCAGGACAGGTACAGAATTTAGACTGAGCTGCAAACAACAGAGCTCTGAGATTGTTCCACCTTCACAGACAATTCCTTCTATACCTCCTCCCCAAACAAAAAGAGATTTCTCACGGTAAAAAGCAGGAAAGAATTTAGCTTGGTAAGATTTAGCAAAAACATCACTCCCCAAGCTGGTAACACGCCGGCTGTTTTGCCCATGTTTACATTAGGAGGTGCTTTACAAAAGTTGGTGTATTGAACATTTCTTCCTTACACTGAGCATCTGAATTTTAGAAGTTTTTGGTGTTTTATCAAATATTAAATGAAATGAACTAATTGCAAGTTAGGCTTATGCAACTTAATTAGTTAAATATCTACTTTTATACTTAACATGCTGATTCACTACATTTAACAAAGCTTTGCAATCAACTAATTATCCTCAATTATACTTGTAGATTTTAAGTTTGATTCACACTCAGCAAATTAGTACAAAATTAAGTGAAACACCACCCAAACTCCTTGCAAGACAGTGAGTGCACCTACTAACCCATCCCATGCACTTGCCTTCTGTACTCAGCAACCTTCACTACAGAGATATGCTTTCTACTCTGGCTCTTTTTTTGGAGGGACAACTGACTACTTTTATTTTCTTTTTTAGACTCTTTTTTTCTTGCAGAAATCTATTACTGTGCTCACTAACAGTAATAGAACACAGCAATTCCTCCTCCATAAGATCAAGGTAAAAAGTTTCTACAAATCTGCCAATTTCTCCAAATTATTTAATCAGACTTCAGCTATATTCTTCCTACTGATAAAAATGGAAAGTTTCAGGGCTTGTATAACACTTCTATGCTGTTGCAAGTAAGCTACCATTTGGTAACATGACACTGTCCTGACACTACAGTGTCAGTGAGCAACACCAGCTTTACGCAGGTTGAACTCTGAAGGCAGGAGTCTAAACTTTTAAGGAAAAACTACTTAAGCCTTAAGGTACAAATTCTATAGACGACTTCCCAGAAGCATGGATTTCTTCCTAAAAGTACTGATTTTGTGACGCATTTGGCAAAGAGAATCCCAGTTTCCTTTACAAAGGTTTCCAGTCGCTCTAGTTTTGAAGCACTAATCACTGTCAGCACCTGGGCACAAAGCAGCCCTGCTGCACTGGGGATGAAGATGGGTCTGTACATGAGGGAACAAGGAGGACACAGCATCTCACAAGCTGCTTTCCTCCTGACACCGCAGATATCCAAAGCAAGCATTATCCACATTTGATGTTGAACTGTTACAGAACTTCTGCAAAGAAGGAATCCTTATTCCCCAATTAAATATATGCAAGGTGCACATAACATTTAACTCTGAAGAAACTGAGATTTTTCCTCATTGAATGGAAAGCTACAGACAGCCATAATCTTCAGGTTAAGCTTTCGGAACGCAAAAGTAACTGCAGGTTTGGAAAAAGGCCTTAAAACAAGGGCATGTTCTGTCCTCTGAGCTGGAGACTTCCTCCAGTTTCTGCATCCAGACATTAAATTGATCTGAAGCTGGGTTATTGCACCTGCTCCCAGGTAGTTGGAACCACAGCAGCTACTGCCACAGCCCCAACCCATGCAGCTGAGAAGCCCACAGCTGTGATCCCCCTATATAGCGATGATGCGTGGTGACCTGGAAAGGGGCCCAGGCTTATTCCATACAAAATAAAGAGGTAAGATGACAAATCAGGGGGAAGAGGGGACAGGATTTCTTTATGTGAAAGAGGTTCTGAAGAGCTGACTCTCCTGGATGTACACATAGGCCAAAGAGCCCAGGACCAGACACAGCGGGCTGTCTCCCAGCTTCCCCACTAAGCCCCGCAGGGTATGCCTCACAGCAATACATCTCTGCCATAAATATCCCAGATTAATTCTGATCCCAGCATCAAATCCACTTAAGAGACTTAAAAGCCTTCAAGTCCTCAGAGCTGCCTGCCCAAAAAGGGCTCTGCAAATGAGTCTTGGGCTGGTGGAGATGAGATGTTATCAAACAAGGCAAGCCATTTGTACAATTTTAGTAATGTCGTTTGTGAGAGACAAATGGGAGCAGATAGCTGAGCTGACATCTTGTACTAACTACACGACCACGGGAAATCCTCAATATTGGGAATGAGTGCATGGGGTAGAATTTGGGTAAATACTTTCTGTACATTTCCATGAATTTATGTTCTGTAAATTTGTACTCCATATGTATTTCCTGGAAATAGCTCTTCCTGCTTATAACGAGGACTGGTTGTTAAACGACAGCATATGCTCTCCAGCGTGTTTAAGGAGCTATTTACTTAGCTTTCCTGGAGACATCCTTTTTCTACGAAAAAGTAGTCTGAAGGGACCACTCCAGCACCACTAGAACACCCTGTGCTGTTAGCACAGACAGCAGGGAGGGAGCTGGAGGTGGGGTTGCTTCCTTCCCTCTCTGTCACACCGAGGGGGTGAAAGGCATTTGGGAACAGGAGCGTGCAGAGGGGGCAGTGGGTGACCAGCGACACTTTCCCCACTTCCTTCAACTCCTCTAGCAGTACAGTAAGAAAACATGAGTTCAGGGCACCACAATTTCGGGACTACGCAGCGACACTTCCTCCCAGATCATAACAGGCCCGGGAAGGGCGCACGCAGAGCAAGCAAACCACCCGCGGGCTTGGGACGGTTCCTGGGCTCTCCAAGAGGCACCCTCCCGGCCGGGCCCCCTGAAAGATGCCTGCGGGCAGCCGAGCCGCGTTCCGTGCCCTGCCTACCTCGGGCAGCGGGGGAAAGCAGACGGAAGGCCCCGAGCCGGGCATCTCCCCGCGGAGCCGCACCTCACCTCTCGGCGCAGCGGACGGGCGGACTCGGGGGCAGCGGGGCCGGCCCGGCGCGGCGGTGGGAGCCGGGAGAGGGCGCGCAGCGCTGCGGGGCGGCTCCGGCACAACCCCGGCCTGAGCCCAAGAGCTTATTTGTCAACACGGGGAACTCGAGTGTAGCAGAGCACAAGTAGCTCTTTGTGCTGTATCAGAGCAGTGAAGTGGGCTCTTAATATGATGCATGCTTTTCCCACTCAATTCAAGTAAAACTAAGTCTTAGATTACTTGTCCGTCAGTAGAAAGGAGGCGGGTAAACGCTCCGACTTCAGTTACTGCTATTCTCGAATTCATGTTACTAAGAATCGCACACAATTAAGCAGCTTTCTGCACACTGTAAAGGAGCCACGATTAATTACAGATTATTGAGTCTGCAAGCAGACGCAAAGGTTTGGAACAACTGTGTCTCTGAAAGCGGCGAGCCCGCGTTTGGATGAGTCAGTTCGCGCTGTGGCGAGCTGCCAGGGTCTGCTGACCCCTTCTCTGGGTCACTTTCGTTAGTGGCGAGAGCGCGGCCGCTGCGCGCTGCCCGGAGCGCTGGGAGGCGCGGCGGCCCCGTGCCCGGCCGGCGGAGAGCCGGCACCACCGCCCGGGGAGCGCGGGCGGCTCCGGGGGCTCCCGCCCGTATCCCCGGGGGGCAGCGGCTTCCCGAGGGGCCCCGACGCTGGAACGGCCAGAAGCAGGCCCTAGGGAGAAGGGCGGGCTCGTCCCGATTATCCCAGCGCCCCGTTAGTGCTGCGAAGGTGGAGTGCCCAGGGGCACCCCTAGAAGCGCGCGGGGCTGCCGGAGCCCCGGCGGCGGAGATAGCCGTAGAGAAAGCTACAGGCGCAGCAGGCAGAGAAATCTGCCTGGGGGAGCCCCGGGCGTGCTGCCGCAGCTCAGACCCTGGGGAGAAGCTCTCCTCGGAATCCCGACCGGAGCGCCGCTGAAGCGCTGGCATCCAGATGGGAAAGGAGCCGGGGGACGGGGCTCAGGCCGCCCCTGCCTGCCGAGGACCCCCTCCTTCGCGGCGAGCTGCCCGCTGAGCCGAGCCGCTCGGGGCTCCCTCCTAGGCGCACGCTGGAGGGGAGTTGCGCTCTTCTCAGAGCTTGTATGCGGGATGGCCTTAAGAAACCGAAGGCAGGAGACGAACGAGAAGGAAAGCCCCACCAGAGAAACACCCTCCTCGAAAAGGGCACGCAAACCCGGGAGCCGCTTACTTTTCATGCTTTGCGTTTTCCTGGATGGCGCTCAGCACCCCCGGGTACGCGGGGGGGACGCCCTGCTGGAGCCTGCATGTGGCCAGGTGCCGGTGATGCTCATCCTGGAGACAGGCATTTTCATGGTACAACTTGGCCACTTGCTGCTCTAGCTCGTCTATTCTCCGCTTCTGCTTCTCCAGCAGCTCCTGCTGCGTCTCAATAATCTTGTTCAGCTCCTTCAGGTACTCCGCCGCCTTGCTAGGGTTCTCCGCCGGGCTCTCCATGGCCTCCCCACACCTCTCACCCTCGGAGAAGCAGGTGGGGGGCGCAGGTGCCGACCAGCCCGCTCCGCCGGGAACTTAAGCGAGAGGGAAGAAATAAATAACCCGCCGGAAACCAGCCCCCCTGCCAGCTCCGCTCTTCCCCTCCTAGAGCAGTCGCTGCCCAGGCGAGCGTAGGAGCGGCGCGCAGCGGCTCCTAGTCCGAGCCGCCATTGCTGGTGTTCGGCTTCCCGCTACCGAGCGAGGGCAGAGCCGGCGGGGATCGCGGACACCGAGCCGCCGGCGAGAGCCACCGCCGGAGCTGCGCGGAGCCCCGCCGCCGCCGCGCTGCCGCTGGCGCACGGGCGCTGTCCCGCCCCGCCGGAGCCGCAGCCGGGTCAGCCCGTCGCCTGGCAGCGCCCGCGCCCCCGCGGAGCTCGCAGCCGGGCATGGGAGCCCGCAAACCCGCTCGGCGCTGCGGCTCCCCGCCGGCTCCGGTCGCTCTCGCGCCGAAGCCCGCCCGCCTCAGCCGCGGGGGCCGCCGCTGTCGGGGATGCGCTTTAAGTAGCCGAGCTGCCTCCTGCGGGGGGCCGGCGGCTGAGCGGCTCCGCGGAGGGGCGCATCCCTGGGCGGCCCGGTGCAGCCTTCCGCGGGCGCCGCCACCCGTCCCCGCGTTGGGGGGGGCCGATGCCGGAGCTCGGCGGGGGAAGAGCTCCGGGAACGGTGCGGGCAGGGGAGCTTTTAGCCCGTTCCACTCTGCTCTACGGGCGCTCTTTGCCCCCTGGGCTCGGAAAGAAGCTCCCTATGCGGGGAGGCAGGCGGGGTAGGGCAGCCATGCGGGGAATCCGCTCTGCGAGGCCTGATGTAAGAGCAAAGATTTTCCCTGGCACACCTAGGAAACGGTAATTTATTGCGGAAGTGGCATGGGGGTGCCGGCTCCCCCAGAGCCGGGAGCTCTCCAGCACTACGCTCGGAGTCACACTCGTGCTAACCGCTGCGTAGCAGAGACCGCTGCCTTTCCGTCAGCAGCCTCGACATCTGAGACCTCTGTCGGTGAGATGCTGCTTCCCGTTAAGGTTGCATCAGGCCAAGAAAAGTTGCTGAGATTGGGGTCCTATATCATCCACGCACGTACAGATGGGAACGCTTAAGAAAACAGGGAATAGGAAAGGGAAACAGAAGGAGATGTTGCAGGAAGAAGATAAGGTGAATAAGTGTTTTTCTCCCCCTTTCCTCTCCTTATCGCCTTAATATTTTTCTTGTTTTCTCTTTTCTCCACCTTTAAAGTTTTCAAGCTTTCAATTAGTATGATTTCCTCACAGCAGTTGTTGCTGCTGTCACAAATGGCACGGTACTCTCTTGGAAAGTCAGCCCTCCTAGCATAGCCAGGATGCGTTGCTTTGGGAGTACAGCTGGTGCAGCAGGCTGAAGGAGTGGGGGAATCACAGGAGCCTCCTGGGAGGTTGGAGACTGGGCTCTCCCCATCCCTCCTTGGAGGGAAGAGCTGAAGTTCTTGGAATGGAATTCTAGAAGAAGATATTTGTCACAATCCCTACCCCAACAGCTTACTGAAGAGGTGAGGAGATCCATCTAGCCATGTCATGTGTGTTCTGTTCTTAAGACAGAAAGAAGTTATCCTCAGAACTGTTACTTTTGTTTTGGCCATATGTGCTGCAACCAAGGCCTGCTGTCTCTATTAACATGACTGAAGCACAAAGGGCTAATTACACTCCTGCTGGGGACTGCAAATTCACAGAAAAGTCTTTAGTTACTCTTTTAAGAGGCCAAGCTTCTTTTGGATAAGTCTCACCAGAATTATTGAATGTATGAGTAATTATTTCTACAGAATGTAACTGAAGAATGGCCCGCTCATTTCGGAAGAAAATGCTCATCACAACATCTCACTGAGGCACCCTGCATCATTTTCTTTGTGAAAACCAGGATGCTTGTCAGGTGTAAATAAGTAGAGCAAGAGAACTTATTTTTTTTATGTGCAAAATAAAATACAAAGCAAGACACTCAAAACTAATTAATGTACACAAGAAGCTTATAAAGCACTTCACAAAAAGGGATGCTGAAGTGAGCACCAGTAAGTACAACTAGCTTGTCTTTCAAAGAGATCTTGGGTAGGTAACCCTGAGTTCATGGTAATCATGGAACAACTGCTAAAGAGGCATGGGCCATTTAAAATTATTACTTTCCTTCTTTTACAGATTTAAGCAAATACCTCACTTCCTGCATGGCATAACTGTATCTTGGTCAGTTGCTTACAGACTTGCTAGACAAGCTGAGAAATAATACAAGAGGCACTCTTAAAGTAATGCCTCCTATTTTATTATCTTAGCCCACTATGTCAGAGGTGGATGCTGGTGGTATGGCAGTATAGGTTAAACCTTCCCACCAGAATTCTATCACATTTTGTTGCTGTGTGACAGATAGCAGCAGAGGGCAGTCTGACAAAATGGCTGTTGATATGGAAGCGCCTATGAAATAAGGAGGCATGACTGAATTTCTCCATGTGGGAAAGGATGGCACCCGTGGTCACTCATCCATGCTTTCTGAACATATATAAAGACCAAACAGTGGATGTTAGCACAGTGAGGTGGTGGCTGATACATTTCAGCAGTGATCACAGTGGGTTGCCTCTGCTGGTGCAGATATTTACAAACATGGCATGCAGGTTCTTGGTCATAACTGGCAGAAGTGCAGAGCTTATCATGATGACTATGTTGGAAAATATTTTTTTTACCTGATAATCTGCTCTATCAAATAGTGTTATTGTACTATTTATGTCTACTGTAGCTTACACAGAAATAAATAGGAAGCATTACTTTCAGAGCAATCTATGCAACTTGTAAAGTGTCTAGTTTCATCTTTTGGATTTTTTTTTTTGTCTGGTTCATTTTGGTTGATTTTAGAAGGCTCTTTTGAGAGGATACCACTAGATTTTCCTCTTCTTAGGAGCTCAGTAACAACTTAACAAATTAATGATCTTCACCTGTGCAACACAATGGAAAGTTTAACAATGATAGCAGAGCAGCAAGATTCCATAACACAGAAAGCAAAGATTCACTCAAATCCAACAGCACCTTGGACTCAGAAATAAGGGAAAGAAGCTGCATACCTTTAGAAAGCCTTAGATATACAGGGACCTCCAGCAAGACACTCTTGCCTCCACTGACAACCCTTAAATGACGTATGGGAAGAGCTGGATCCTGGGTCCACCCCTTCTGGTCACTCAGATGCATTGCACTGCATACACCTGAGCTTCCCTGGGTTGGCCCTGCCTTCCCACCAAGGGCTCCATCACTGGTTCTAGCCATCACAAGTAGCCCGACTACTTATGCTTTCCCATAAATAATGTAGAAAGAATCAAACCTACCGGATATGTTCTACCAGGAAACTGTAGGTGAGACTGAAAAATATGTACAATAAGCCCTCAGAGACATGTTTGGGCTGGCACCTGGCTTTTCCTGGGTCATGTTACTGGTGTGTTTTGCATGTTGCTTGAGAAAGAGAATGGAGTACTCTGTGTCCAAGGGGATTGTTTTTGTGAGCCTCCAAACACGTGCGTGTTTTATCACCCTTCATAAATTAGCAAAAAGAGCGTAAACTTAGAAAACAAGCATATTCATAAAATCAATAATATGTTCAATTTCTATCTGTGAGACAGATTATAAAAACAGATCCAGCTTGTTCAGATTTACTCAGAAAATTAAGTGATATCAAGCCTAACCCTTTTGAGTAGGAAATTACCAAAACAGTTTTTTTTAATTGCTAACATTTTATATTAGACTGTCTAATTTTATAAGGTTAAATAATACATGGTTAATTTTTGCCAGAGAAAGTGTCAAGGAAAATTTAAATATTAAAGGAAATGTTGCTCATTCAGTAAGTAGAATCCTCTTACTGATTTATTATTAGCAATAAATAAATATCCCATCCCACTTCAGAGAATCCTTAAGATGATCGTAGTTTTAGACTGTCTCAGGTCTTACTGCCTGGGGAATTGATACCCTGCAGAGCACAATTTGTGACTGTTGGACCATTAGTGCCAGCGTCTGGTCCAAAGTCTGACTGCAGTTCAAAAAGAACCTTGCCAGCAGAACTTAAAGATGCCTCCCTTACTGTCCTCCATATGTCTTAGAACAGGTACATTTGTTTGCCTATCCGCTTTAAAAAATCTGGCTCTTATTGGCACTTGCTACATGTCTAAATTAGACGTTTTGTCACGTTCAGGCTTATTGTACTGCATTAAAATTAAGCTATGTTGTTATTATTTCAAAAGTTTTTCGTTATGGCTAATAATGTGATCAGTGAACACAAAGCCAGATAACAATTTCTTCAAAGTAAGATATTTCCAGCAAAAACCATTTCAAATATATTTTTCATGTGAAATTAATTAGGCCAGTGTAGTACAAAAAACATGGACCCAGAAGTCATGCAGTTATTTGCACTTGATCTTAACTCTCTCTTTGATCTCTCTTAAAAAATTCTATTGGAAACTGCTTCTTTCTTGTTCACTTATTTTACTGTGTCTCTTCCCTCACTCCTTCCTTGTTTTTCCTGTGTTGTGTTTGGAGATTTAACATAATATCAGTGTTTGCAGGGCTGTTATATTTTAAATGTAGGTGCAGACCTCATTCCCACCTTGCCCCTAATGTCTACCCTCTTTTCATTTGTCCTAATAACACAGGACATATATGTTCCTTATACATAACAGCATACTCACCACATAGCCAGAAGTGCTTGTTCATGCTCTGTGGGCTGACAGTGGGAAATCATCTGAGTGATGTGAGAAAAATCAGCATCGTTTGTAGCCTGTTTGCTGCATGCTCCAGGCTCCCTGGAGAAAGAAGGCAATAGAAATTACACTGCTGACTTGTACTGTTGTCCCAGGAGGCCAAATGTTTGCTGTGGGACTGCTGTCTGACTATAAGGTACTGATTAACTATTAAAAAAAAAGGAAAAGTGCAGCATTAAAGACTTGAAGTCTTTTAGGAACTGTGGTGTTTCAGGCTTGTTCTCTTCCCTCTCCTGCTTAGGTGTAACCCACTTTTAAAAATGACATTTTATTACCTGAATTTCTGACTTTTTTCAAGCACTGAGCTTCTTTACACCTTTTCCTACCACATATTTTTCTGACAATAATCTCTTGAAAATCTGACCAAGTTGCCTTTTAATTGTTCCATAAACAAATAGCACATTTATTCAATTCAGCCACTCTTCTAGAAGAATGGTCAGTCAATCCAGAAGTATTCTGTACTTTATTCTAGCATACTTCTTCCATTGCTGTTTAGAATTAGTACAGCTATGCCATGAAAGCATTTGAACAATTAGCCTATGTTTCTACCCAGATAAGCCAAGCATAATAAATGATTAAACTTATTTTATAAATGGTGCAGAAAAAAAAAAAATCTTGGTACTTAAGTTGAGATTCATCCAAATCAGAGCTGGAATGAGGGACAACTTTCATTAAAAAATAATATTTTCGATTAAAAGATAAACTGTAACTGAAGGAGAAAAATATATACTACAGTATCAGATATCTAGTGCCAATAGCAGATAAGTGCCAGAGGAAAATGCTTCATGTTAAAGATGAACAACACAGGCATATTGGCAGGGACAAAAACCTTAGAAATCAGATTAGGAAGCTGAAAGAGGAAAGCAAATAAACACTCTCTAAATCACAACTCATGAATTCACTGAAAGAAGGAAGAAATACCAAATGCTAAATTGTGAAGACATGAATTTATTGCAACACTTTTCAGTTTCAAGGATATAAAGCCATAAAGTATACAATACAACATAAATATTTCAATAAAGTAGTATAACAAAGTTTTCTCGAGGTCTGCTCTAAGTGAAATCTTTCTCCTGTGGAAGGCTTTCATTTGCTAACTTCTACTGAAGGAATAATTATCTATGCTACTAAAATTAATTTGACACATAGCTTTCTATGTTAAAATTTGATTACATTTTAATGTACATTTTTTATTTTATTTATTTTTTTAATGTACATTTTTATGTTTCTGTACTTTAATTGTTTGGATTAAATTCTTATGTTCTTATTACATTTCTCACATTTAAAGATTCTGGAGAATTTCTGAAAATAGTACCTTTTCAGAAGAAGATTAGAATTTATCTAACTGTCAATCATTGATGGAAATAAAGTCTGAAGAAAAACCACTGATTAAAATATGAGATCATCAGTAATATTTATTTGCCCTGGGCATTTCCAATTAGATACCTGAAACTGATGAAAACCCTGATGATCCTTAGTTTTAGTTCCTTGTTCTCATTTCACATCTTCATTTGGCACAATAGGCTCTTGCTCTCTCAGATGCTATGAGCAGAATCTCACTTAGATAACGCAGTAACATTTTTTACATTAGGAAAATATTTCTGTCTTCCAAAAGATGTTGATAAAAGGAAATAAATAAAAATGAGACAATGTCCTGACTGATCAGTATTAAAAGGTGTATTTAGTTTGTATTCTTTCCATTCTATATGAATCCAGTGGATATATTTGCAAATAATTTGTATGTACTCTGTACCATCGTGTGTATATGATCAAAACTAATGGATAGTTCTTTTTTTTGGCATTTAATACATTTTGAATGCTAGAAAATTCACCCTTGATAATTATTTTAAGTAGTATATATCTCTATATCTTCTAGTCATTGTGTGTTCAAACTCATTTGAAATATTTTATCACTATAAGTGGTTTAAAACAGTATTCAAAGTAAGATCTACAGATCAGTCAGGAAGCACATAGGTGAGTGAAAAGGAAGCATATGGCAGAGGCTCAGAGGAAAAAAGCCAAAATAACTTATTTTGCACCAGTTCCAACAACATAAAGATCTCGAAGGCCTATGCTCATGATCCTTTCAATACAGTCCAGACTGTCTTTTGGTTGAGTATATTAATACACATCTGACCATTTTTTAATGGTGCTGTGAACCACTTCACCTGTTTTTTTCTGGTTGTACTGCATCCATAAAGTAGCTACACCACTTACTGTCAATAATAGCATAACAGGAAAGTATATTGTTTTACTATGGATGTAGTTCAGCAGGTAGAAATGGGCAATGTTAATACATGCTGTCATTAACTAACAGGTCTGCAGCAGATAATTACAGATTGCTAGTCAAAATCACTGCTCCCCAGTTTATCTCAACATTCTGCCATAATAAGAAACAAATTTCCATGTTTTTGTCTGTAAAGTGGGCATTGTAATGCAGCATACGTGCAAGATACTCTGAAGAGTGTTCTGGTGCTACAGGTGGCTTTTCCTTAGCCAAATGGTGCAAGGCAAAGATCCTAAAGAATGACTTTGTGTTTCCACAGAGAAATGCTCTGCAGAGCACTGGCTCTGATATCAGAGGTG